CCCCAAAACCCCAAAACCCCAAAACCCCAAAACCCCAAAACCCCTCAAACTTATATTCTAATTGAAAATGGAGAATAATCTCCTTAATAACCAAGAAAATGGGTACCGAAATAATAGAGATTTGAGGACTTCAGAGATTCCTTTTAGAAAAGAATTGAGAAGGATGCCACTTATAGACAAAGTAAACTGTTCCTAATGTTTAGATATGCATGGGTCCCTTTGAAAAGTATCATAAATACGGAAGATTTCCTTATAAGATGGTAGTGCATTTCTGCTTAGCATTATCCCTAATATCCCAGATCTTTTTGATCGTAAATTTTAACTCAAGTTATTCAATGACTATGAAGAGAAAATTGTTGACATTGTTCTTCAAAGAAGACATGGAACTAGAGCAAGTCCTGACCTTTCGGGAGAGGTACTTCTTCGATGCTCTCGAGTTAAGAGATCATATTAATAACATTATTGATAACTATTTTGAACTACCAGAGTCAGACTCTATTGAGGAATACGATCTTTCCAAAGAGATTGATTACGATGGTATCAAGCGTACAGCCAAGATCAAGATGAGTCCATATTTTATTCGCAAGGAAGATAGAATTCCATGGAACTTTTTGAATATGAGTTTTACATTGAAAGAAAGAGGACCTTTTCAAATAGAAGAAGATGGGACACCTCGTTTGACGGATGAAAGACTAAGAGACTTCTTTTCTTCTATGACTCACTTTACCTTGACTTTCCTAGTCAGGCACAACATCCCTACAACAAAATTTACAACTTATGACTGCTATAGATGGATAACGACTGCTGATTTTCGAGTGGTAAACAATGGGCATTTTTCCCAATTTAATCAAATGGAGCGTCAATTTTGCCAAAACGTACCTGACAAGTACATCCAGACAAACTTTTTAACCAGATATTTATGGGTTTTGTTAATAACTTTCATCTTAAGTTTATTAAGTCTCTACCTAAACGTGAAGTATGTCAAAGGAATCACTAGCAGCATTGAACGGGTCAGGAAGGAACTGAATAAAGATCATCAACAAAAGCAGAAGGAGAGACTAACTACCACTCAGATGAACAATAAGAATTCAATAGGTAAGATTAGGGAATATTTCATTAGATTATCCATTTTGTTCATTGTGGCTAATTTCATCCAGATTCGCACAAATTCGGCCTTGACGAGATCTATGAAGGAGAAGAAGAGCAGGACGAGCCACTTGATGAAGAGGATATGAGATTTAGCTGGGCTGATTTGACCATAGCTGATTGGAGAGAACTGTATTCTGGATGGAGCTTCTTGACTATTCTTGGAAATATTATCACTCTTATCGCTCTAGCTTTTCTATTAGCATCTACTGCTACTTCACAGAGAGAAGGGGAGATAATGCTAGGATTTGGTGCATTCTTAGTATTAATCTCACTTCTTAAATATTATGAAAACGCTAGAGTTTATAACATTGTATGGAACACAGCTCTAAAATCTTCAAGTGTTTTCTTCAGAGCGACAATTGGATCATTACCAATCTTCATAGGATTTGTTGTATTAGCATTTTGCCTGTTCAATGGAAATTCATACATGGCCTACTTTACATTCACTATGTATTCACTCTTCACAACTTTAAGTGGAGACATAATCTTTTTTTTATTCGTTGAGCTTAAAGAGGTAGCGTACTTGCTAATTCAGGTATTTTTGATCGGTTTCATGTTCATCTGGTTTGCAGTAATCTTCAGTGTGATTGTGGTTATCGTTGGCGATGGCTACATCGGTAAGAGTCATCTTGATTTTTATAGCTGCTAAAAGTTCAACGAAATATGACTGGATCATTGATAGTAACGAATATGAAGAGGAAGTTGTCAAAAATATTAATACTTTCTTCAGACAGAATTATGATGGAAGAGACCCTCTAAAACCCTTCAGAGAGAAATCTATTCGTGAGGAGAATAGGAAAAACCGCCTTCGAGTGATTCTTATTAAAGATAGAGAGTTGCATCAGCTGAGGTATGCTCAATCTCTAGGAATCCCTGTTGAAAATTTGCCTAAATAAGAGCATTCTTGATGAGACACCCCTTCAGAAATTGGTTAAGGATCATGATCCTCTATCAAATCAAGCTAAAGAATGTGTGAAACTGTTGAATATTTTTCAAAAGAATATAATCAGAAAGACCTTCAAAAGGGATAATGATGATAAATAGAGACTATGCTGACCGCCTGAAAGCTTGTATTGGCAAGCTTAATAAGAGAATTCAGAAAGTTAAATACCTATCAAAGGTTGAATATGAAGGACTCGATGTCAGAATAGAAGAGGGTGAGCAATAAGTTATTGAGTAGGAAGTTCAGATTTTGCTTGTTTTAAGTGGTTGTTAAGAATTTAGTTGGAGATGGAGTAATGGGGTGTAGGATAGAGAAGAGGTTGAGAAGGGGATTGAGGAAGAAGTTTAATGAAGCTGAGGGAGTTTTAGAGTGGGATTTACATGATTATTCATTTTGAAGTTTTTTGATTTTTAGAAGTTATGAATGTTCAATTTTGGTATGATTAAGTGGGGTTTTGGGGTTTTGGGGTTTTGGGGTTTTGGGG